TCATCCATAATTCCTATAGTTACACCTTTCCCTGTGTAACCCAGCTCCCACGCTTCAGCTACATTCAGATCAAGTCCAGGAGTCCCATCTGCTTGCCCAGTGTTGATCTAATGCATAAAAAAATTAGAAAAAGAAAGCACAAGAGAATTATTTGCTTGGCACAAAACAGACTGTTTACATCCACTGAGATCCATCTGCCACAGGCTAGCCTTCATTTGCTTGGGAAGGAGGCACTAAATCCAGGAATGCTGGCAATAAAATAAGAGAAGGTTTTTAAAAAGATTTGGATGCAATGGGACTAATGCATTTCATTGCTCAGTCAGAACCAGAGGTTTGCTCTAAAATCTGGCTTGAGTGACAGATCACAGCCTGTGATCATGCAGTAATGAAAATGATTATGCCTCTGAACATGTTGAAGGTTAACCATTGACCTATTTAACTCAGTAAGGGACCCCTGGATGGTTAAGTCCAGTCAAAGGTGACTATGGGGTTGTGGCACTCATCTCTGCTTTCAGGCTAAGGGAACCGGCGTTTGTCCACAGACAGCTTTCCAGGTCATGTGGCCAGCATGACTAAACTACTTTTGGCACAACAAAGCACCATGATGGAGGCCAGAGTGCACGGAAACACCGTTTACCTTCCCGCCGGAGCGGTACCTATTTATCTACTTGCACTTTGTGCTTTCGAACTGCTAGGTTGGCAGGAGCTGGGACAGAGCAATGGGAGCTCACCCCATTACAGGGGTCTGAACTACTGACCTTCCGATCAGCAAGCCCAAGAGGCTCAGTGGTTTAGACCACAGCACCACCCACATCTCAGTAATGTCTACATTAACTGACAGCAGCTCTGCAGGGCTATCTCTGTCCAGGCAGGTCTGTCATTGGCAAATCATCCATTCAAAAGAGATTAACTTTAGCCTCATCGTGTCAAAAAATAATTGGAAATAATAGGGTGTGTTTGCTATATTCTTCCATACCAAGACATGCTTGAGGACTGCAAAAATCTGAAATTGCTTTCCTGATGGAGAGGGATGGAAGTTCACGGTTGCTTACCAAGTACCACTGCTTTGTAAATAAAGGATCATTCATGTTGATGTCTATTTCATTGATATCTCTGTAGCCTCTCTTCCTCCTCCCAAAGCCTTCTTGCTGCACAGCCTTCTTCACCTGCAACAGTAATTGTATTAAAAGGTTATTACCATATGTGGTGTTTGCCCTCCTAGGTGACATCATGCTGGGTCATAAGGAAAGGGTTAAATGAGTGTGAAGTGATTGGCAAGTGGGGACCCAAAGGGAGGAGTTAGAGTTAGAGTTAGAGTTAGAGTTAGAGTTAGAGTTAGAGTTGTGAAGAAGTCAGTCGGGTGTTAGAGAAGAGAGAGGGAGGATAAATCTGTGGGTTGGGATAGTTTGATGTGAGAGAGTGAGAGAATCTGTTAAGAGGAGTCAGATAGACAGTTGGAAGTTATTAGGAAGGTATAGGCCGGTAAAGAAACTAAGATTAAGAAACTGACAAGAAAAATTATCTGAAACCATAAACATGTTAAAGCTTATAAAATAAACTTGTTTATTTGGTTTAATGTTAACAACTGTCTGGACTCCGTGTGTACCCGAGAGAAACGGGTTGGTGGCAGCGGGGAAGCAATCACAGTGGTGGCACAGGGATCAATAGACCGTCAAATGTCTGGGGACCCTGTGTGATCGCCACACCATATCATTGGTATTTGTGAAACAAGGGTATTGCCTTGTTGCTTACCATCTTGTACTTTTTTTAGTATGGGGAGGGACCTAAACACAGGAGCAGAGATGGAGAAGGAGCAGCTCTCTTCCCCGGGTCTACGCTGCACCCGGGAGATGTGTGGAAGGTAGTTTCCTCAGCACTGACCCAATTCTACCAGGGCGCAGCTCCATTCATGGATCAGGCGTGACCTGGGGGCAGAAGCAGCAGAGAGGAGGAACTGTGGCAGCAGCATTGCCACGCCTCTCCTCTGCTGGGCTCCAGCACGCAAGGGAGGCGATGACAGCCCCTGCGGGGAGATCCTCACACTACTGGCTATGCCAGCAGCTCCTGCAGATGGTGGGCCAGAGCTGCTGGCTTGGGCACATCACTGGGGGCTGTGCCGCAGCAGTGGCAGCCTCTCCTCTCCTGCCCACTGTCCAGCAAGCTGCAAAAGGGTGGAAGCCAGCAGTGGTGGCCATGAAGAGGCTCAGCCAGCTCATCGTCCTCCCAGAGCTCAGCAGCGGTTCTGGAGAGGGGAAGCAGGACAATCCCAGATCCAAACAGAAGCCGGGAATGCTTCTGTGAATCCAAGATGTCCCAGTAAAATCAGGGCAGTCAGGGATCTGGTCTTTCAGTTTTCTGTTCTGGAGTTATCTCAATGAGTATTGGTGTCCAGTTCCATTCTGCTACTGATCAACATCCATCCATTCCCAATACAGTGGTACCTCAGGTTACATATGCTTCAGGTTACATACGCTTCAGGTTACAGACTCCGCTAACCCAGAAATAGTGCTTCAGGTTAAGAACATTGCTTCAGGATGAGACCAGAAATTGGGCTCCGGCAGTGCGGCAGCAGCAGGAGGCCCCATTAGCTAAAGTGGTGCTTCATGTTAAGAACAGTTTCAGGTTAAGTACGGACCTCTGGAACGAATGAAGTACTTAACCTGAGGTACCACTGTACCCCCTTCAGGAAGTCAGATTCACACATATTATACCAGTTACACCGTTAAATACTTAGCTTCTGCACGCACACGCTTTTGCCCTTCCTCTGTGTTTGAAGCACAGGTGGGCTACCATCAGCTCATCAATCCTGGTGTTCAAACACAGGGAGCGAGTGGGAGCAATTCTGGGTAGAAAGGAAACAGTTCATAGAACAGCAACGGCCATCCTTGTTGTGCTTTGGGATTTCCATATTAAGTGCTCTCAAGCTTCGTGCGTTAATAGTCAGCAGAAGTGGGATGGCATACACAAATGATTCATCTACAAGCCCCTGTTTGTGCTCTTCGAGAAAGGGGTACCCAATTGAATTAAAACTGGAAAACCTACAGCTGGCGAAAGAGAACACGGTATTTTCAGAGCACCTAATTAACCAGCGGAACATTACTATGTCACAAGGCTTTATTGAGGTGGAGCGCTAAGAAGGATTCGGAAAAAGGATTAAAGCTTAACATGAATGAGGATTTTATGACTATGGTGAACAAGGTATAGAGAGAATGAAAGTGCAGCTGCCAGGTTGGGCAGAAGCCAACTGTGGATGGCTTTAAAACTGTATCAGCTTCCTAAGGTAAGCGATGAAGTTAATGCTCATGACTTTTGTGTCCATAGTGTATTCATTCTGATTTCTTTCTCACCCGGCCCCCAAGGAGTTAGTGCACAAAAAAGGGAACGTCTTTAACAGTGCATAAGCCCTGGCAATGTACAGTTGACAAAACTCAAGTTGAGCTTTATCTCTGATGGTGCAGGATTGTTCCACCCTCCCCACACACAATGGAATGTCCAGTGGGCCACAAATTCCCGATAAGATTTGTGCCTATTGGCGTCTATCCATTTATCTGGTGCCCTCCAGATTATTGAGCAGAACAACTCCCATCAGCCCTGACTAGCCACGTTGGGTGAGGTTGATGAGAGTTGTAGTACTTTTGGAAGGCTACCGTCCTATTTAGGGACGTGGTTGGCGCTGTGGGTTAAACCACAGAGCATAGGACTTGCTGATCAGGTCAGCGGTTCAGCTGCTGGTCAGCGGTTCGAATCCCCACGACAGGGTGAGTTCCCGTTGCTCGGTCCCTGCTCCTGCCAACCTAGCAGCTCGAAAGCACGTCAAAGTGCAAGTAGATAAATAGGTACCGCTCCGGCGGGAAGGTAAACGGCATTTCCATGCGCTGCTCTGGTTCGCCAGAAGTGGCTTAGTCATGCTGGCCACATGACCCAGAAGCTGTACGCCGGCTCCCTCAGCCAATAAAGAGAGATGAGCGCCGCATCCCCAGAGTCGGCCACGACTGGACCTAATGGTCAGGGGCCCCGTTACCTTTTACCGTCCTATTTAGTGGGAAATCTTTGAAACAACGAGGCCATCCAATTCCCTGGCAGGCTTTCAAGGATAGCAACAGAGCTGGGAATTGGTTTTATTGTTTTTCAGACGCTTGCCTTACCGCTTGCATTTTTGTTCTTCTTTTCCAGTTATGTTCTATTATTGTTGCTGATGCTGATGCTTTAAATATTGTTAGCCAGATGGCAGGATGCATTCATAAATAAATAAATTAAAATTATGCAATGAGATTGGCTCTGTAATTTGAGTTGAATCCCTACAGTGTCGGGGGGCGGGGAGTCTCATACTGTACACATGGCTGCTGGGCTACCTTAGAAAGTGAGGAGAAGAATGCCTTAGGGATGGAGCCAGTGCAAGGATCTCTTAAGGTACTGGCTCCACTAGGAACTAGCTCTGTCTCTGTACAGCTGCAAATAAAACATTTTAGGTGTGTTGTAAAGTGCAATATACAAATGTGACACTAGATGCCAATGGTGAGCTATGGGGAATTCAATATTTTTTTTTCAAAACATTTTTTAAAAAAGCATTTTCACAGCATTTTTTATGCGTGTGTAGATTCCACCGGTATGTATTGTTTCATATTTACAAGGCATGAATTACTGTGAACAAATAAATCAACAGAACAGAACTCAAAAGCATACTTCAAAGGAATTATGGGGTTGTGTTGACCTTCAAGTGGTTGTACACTTGCAAAATCCCACTGAAAATGCAGAGCTTAGGGCAAGATTTGCATGGATGTAAACTGTCTTTTTTACTGCTTTGCTTGTCTTGCTAACCCTATACTTCATTTGATGTTTATGGTTTGCAGATCAGAAAAATGAAACTGGGAATACATTGCTAAGTAAGTGAGAGCTGTCTATCACCCAAAACACATGCCTCTGCCCTTGGGGAATTCTCAACAAAGCATTGGTTACATAAATCATCAAGTACTGCTATAGCTCCTGGGAATCCATGGACTTCTTGCAGTCCATGGGACTCTCAAGAGTCTCCTATGGTGCTGGAGGAGACTCTTGAGAGTCCCATGGACTGCAAGAAGATCAAACCTATCCATTCTGAAGGAAATCAGCCCTGAGTGCTCACTGGAAGGACAGATCGTGAAGCTGATGCTCCAATACTTTGGCCACCTCATGAGAAGAGAAGACTCCCTGGAAAAGACCCTGATGTTGGGAAAGATGGAGGGCACAAGGAGAAGGGGACGACAGAGGACGAGATGGTTGGATAGTGTTCTCGAAGCTACCAGCATGAGTTTGACCAAACTGCGGGAGGCAGTGGAAGACAGAAGTGCCTGGCGTGCTCTGGTCCATGGGGTCACGAAGAGTCGGACACGACTAAACGACTAAACAACAACAACATAGCTCCTGGGAGAATATCCTCCATTAGACTCAGCATTTTCTGATAGTCCACGGTGATATATGGGTGTTTCATCAAAAGACAGGAGATGTTTTCTTGATAGCTGGGAATCTCCCTCTAGCTTTTGGGCTGTGAAACCCGCTATGATCCCGGAGAAAGTGACAATTGGTAGGAAAGGGCTGAGAAACAGCACGGGTCCAGTTTGCAATATGAATTTAAAGAGAACCAAACAGGGGAAAGCAAGAGTTGTGGGTTGGTTAAAGCATCTCCAGATTTACTTGCTCTCTTTGGGACACAATTCAGGATTGTTTGTTTGTTTGTTTGTTTGTTTGTTTTATTTAAATTTATATACTTCCCAAGGAATCAAGAAGACCAAAACTTCAACAAAGAATGGGGTTATTTATAAATTATGTTGGAGACCATTTTAAGCAAGATGAAAACGCTAGCAGGATCGCGATAACACTTGTAACGTAGCAGGAACTATGGAGACAATGGAGTTATATAAAATATGGACTATTGAAAAAGATGCAGCAGGAAAGGTTTGATAATGGTACCCATGGGGGGAGGGAAGGGGGGAAGTCCAGAGATTCAGAGGAATCTCTTAACTGTTGATTTGTATGGTTGCATTGTTATAATTTTGTATAGGTAAAGGTAAAGGGACCTCTGACCATTAGGTCCAGTCATGACTGACTCTGGGGTTGCGGCACTCATCTCGCTTTATTGGCAGAGGGAGCCGGCGTACAGCTTCCAGGTCATGTGGCCAGCATGACTAAGCCGCTTCTGGTGAACCAGAGCAGCACATGGAAATGCCGTTTACCTTCCCACCGGAGTGGTACCTATTTATCTACTTGTATATGTAAAAGCAAATAAAAAATAATTCTCTCTCTCTCTCTCTCTCTCTCTCTCTTCATCCAAAGATCAAACGGAAAGGTTTATGGCATAAAAATGCAAAATGAAAACAAAATACAAAACAAAACAAGCAAACAAATAGAAAAACCAATAGCCTTAGCGAACACCTTGATGGTTAAGAGCAGTTCCACAATAGAACCAGATTCTTAGAGGGGTGATGCGCTCTCACTTAGGGGATATCTCCAAGCAAAGAATGCACCAGGGATGGATTTCCAGCATCAAACAGGGGGTTGGACTGGAGGAATGTTTGTTAAGCAGGAGAATGGACTCTAGTGTGCTTATTAACTCTTTATTCTCACATCAACCCTGTCAGGTGAGTTGTTTTACAACATAGCAGCTGACTTCAGATCAGCCGAGTTTGAATACGAGCCCTGATCAAAGGCCAGTACACTTCCTAGGTTATCGACAAGGCTCCGTTAAGAAGAGTACACTTCTATGGTACACAGACAATGAGAAATAGCAAAGTGATTTGCCAAAAAGGGGGAGGTGGGATCCTTAAGGCAACAACAAACAATACTACTTTTTAAACACAGTCGTAAAATTCAAGATGTTTAACAATGGACACTGCATACTTGTGTTTCAGGTCTACACTTAAAACATCATAGATGCATGCCTATTGCTATGCCATTTCTGTTTAATAATGTAATCTAATTCCCTATTGCAGTCCCCCTATTTAGAGCTCTCCCTCTCACCCATGCCTAGATCATTAACAAACGCCTTGCTGTGACTCCATTAGAGAAAAGGCTCCACATACTTCAGAAGATAGCCTCGTGATTATAAAATACCAACAAGGAAAAAAATGACACCTAAGTATTGAGTTTTAATATACTTCCACTTAGGCATGGTGCATAAAATAACTGGGATGCTAATAAACCAGCAGGACAGTGAGGCAGAACAAATTAAGAAATTCATCTATCGACTTCATGACTACTCCGGGGGGAGCGCAAGCATCATAACATCGTAAACTGAAAGCATGCTGTGCGCTCCAAGGAATGGCAAGAAAATAGCCTCCGCATCTTAATGCAGCAACGTGAGCAGGGCTGATGAGCAGGATTGGCTAAGAGCATCATCCTTGCTGCCTTCAATGTGCTGCACTAGGAAGGATGATTCCTTCCCCACCCCCCACCCCCCTGCCCCCACCCCAGCATTATTCCCTTGGCTATCTTCACCCAAGCTCCAAATCCAAATCCTACTCTTTTATAGCACACGACGAAAAAATAGAGAGAGATCCCCATTGGAACTGTTGCCTGGGATATGTCTGTGAGTTTGCTTGTACAACATATTTACATTTGCAGACTTTTTTTTTTGCCATAAGAGAGACAAACTTATATTTGTTTGTTTGTTTATGTATTTATTTATTTATTCAATTTATATTCTGCCTTATACCCAGAGGTCTCAGGGTGGTTCACAGAATAAAATCAAGATATAAAACCACAAAATACATAATAAAAATAAAAACAACAACCCAATAACAACCCCCCCAAAAAGAGACACGTTTTAAAAGGGCATAGGATGTCAATCAGATCAACCAAAGGCCTGGTGCCTAAAGGTGTCCAATGAAGGCACCAGGCGAACTTCCCTGGGGAGAGGATTCCACAGACAGGGAGCCACTGCAGAGAAGGCCTGTTCAAATGTGAGAAATGGGACTCAAAGTACTCTCCTGATCTACATCCCTAAACTGGTTTGGGCATTCACGACTCAAAGCTCAAGATGAATTCACTTTCCAAGGCATATCATAATGGGTATCCTGTGAAGAGAGTGCTTGAAGACTGAAGCCAGAACAGCACCGTCTGGATATTATAGGACAATTCTCATCATCTCATTGAAAGAGATGGGTTTGCTTAGTGTGGAGAAGGGATGTTTAAAAGGGAAACATCAAATACCAAATACTAATATTACTATGGAAGAAACATCAGCATGCTGAACGGTTTTGTACTTTGGCTGTCCTTTGAAAGACGGGCCCTGGGAGGCAGGAAGGGGAGGAAGATATATTACCCTCCCCATGGAGTTAACGCTCCCATGGTGAGTTATCAAGTGACTTTTGTGTCAGTAGCCTAAAAAGAACGTCCTTTTCCAAGGCGTGACATCTTATTAGTTTTCCTTTTCATAAAGTGTAAGCAGAATCACTTCCCTTCACTGTTACAAAACAGTGGGTGGAGTCATAAAGACTCCCAGAAGGGCTGGCTGAAGCCTTTAAATTATTCCCAATCTTAATCTTTTAAATGTTCCCTAAGACTCTCATGGAGCATTACCAGCACAGAATGTAGATGCTGATGAGAAAGTCTACTTACATCTCCTTCTCCATAATATAATAATAATAATAATTTATTATTTATACCCTGCCCATCTGGCTGAGTTTCCCCAGCCACTCTGGGTGGCTTACATCTCCATCTCTCACTCCCTGAATGATCAAACCAAAGGAGATGGCTATGCCTCTAGAGCCCTAGCGACCAAGGAGCCAGCAGAGGGAGGTGTCACAATGAAGGGCGTGTCACAAGGACCTCCGCAACCTAGCAACCACCAGCACTCAACTGACACTACTCTCAACTGACACTACTAACTTTCCTTACCTGGCTTTTAATCCATGTTCAGCCCCAACACATTTTAAAAGGGCATTGGATGTCAACCAGATCAACCAAAGGCCTGGTTAAAAAGGAACATTTTTGCCTGGCTCCTAAAGGTATATAATGAAGGCGCCAGGTGAACTTCCCTGGGCAGAGCATTCCACAGATAGGGAGCCACTGCAGAAAAGGCCTGCTCTCATGTTTCCACCCTAAGGACCTCACAAGGAGGAAGCACACGAAGAAGGGCCTCAGAAGATGATCTCAGGCTCTGGGTAGGTTCATATGGAAAGAGGCGGTCCTTGAGGTGTTGCGGTCCTGAGCCATTTAAGGCTTTATAGGTCAAAACCAGCACTTTGAATTGGGCCCAGAAACTAATTGGTAGCCAGTGCAGTCAGACCAGGATTGGTGTGATGTGCTCAAACCCTCCTGCTCCAATGAGCAGCCTGGCCATTGAATTCTACAGCACCTGAAGTTTCTGAACCATCTTCAGAGGCAGCCCTATGTATAACGCATTGCAGTAATCTAACCTTGAAGTTACCAGAGCATAGACGACAGTAGTTAGGCTGTCCCTGTACAGATAGGGTTGTAGCTGGGCCACCAGCCGAAGCTGATGGAAGGCATTCCGGGCCACTGAGGCCACCTGAGCCTCGAGCAAAAGCAAAGGATCCATAAATATCCCCAAGCTATTCATTAAACTTATTAGTTGCTACCTAAAAGGTCTCTGAGCAACTTACATTTAATGCATAAACATAAGCGGATTTTTTATATAACAGGGGGGAAATGGCTCCGGGGAATAGCTGTTTCACAACACGTCAGGAGACTAGGTGAGCAAAGCAGAAAGTCTGGAATGGAAGAAGCAGACACCAAGCTATCCAAGAAAAAAGATAGGGATGGCTCAATCATGAAATCTCGCTGGCTTAAAGCTTGGCTAATATTCCTGTCCCTCCATTTCCATTTGCTTCTTCCACTGTTCCCCATTCCCTCCAAACAATGTCCAGGGGAATGCTGCTCCCCTCCATCTTTGAAGTCTCTCTGTGCTGAAATAGCCTGGCCTAAACATGCAGCAGATGGCGTAGCAGAATGGAATGTGACTCTCTGGGTGGAAGAGGCCACTTTTCAGTGCTCCTCATGGAAACAGAAAACTAAAGCAATTAAAGAGAGAACAGTGTTTTTCCAGCCCTTTCCCTGCTGTCTCTGCACTCAAAAAGACAAA